TGTGGTGTAATCACTGCTGGAGTAGCATGTATTACAGTAGTATTACAGTGTAGTCGTATTACAAAGACATGAACAACTTGCTGATGTTGGATGGAATGTCAGGGAGCGTTGTGGTGTCACTGGAGTCTTTTTAACCTTATCTGATAGCTTAAGATAACCAAGACCAAAGAACACAGCTTTATGAATCAAGGAGGCAGCTTGTTGGACGATTGTGGCATGTGGGGAATGGGTTGTTGCCCCTGGAAAACTGGTGACTGGTAAACTCTGATGCAACCATTAGTAGCATTATATCCGTAATGAGAGCCTGCTCAGTTCAAGAGGGAATAGTCAGGGGTCATGACATGTAGATGACCAGTTTGTGAAGAGGAACTTCATGACATAGCAGGTAGAAACACACTCCTGTACAGCAGGGATGCTGGGGCAGCTATTAGGATTCCAGAAGCACTCCCAAATTGCAGCTTAACAAAACTAACATAGCTTTTGCAGTTGCCTAGTTCTTGTTTGGTACATACTAACCTCAGTAATCATCAAGACAAATCCAAGCCAACAGACAGATCAGCCAAATGTTCCATCTAGTTCTTTCTAAATGGGAGACATCTTCATGATTGACTGTTGAACTCTGTTGCCATGGATGAGTGTCATGCAACATTGGCTACAGATGAAACTGCTGAGGTGCAAAGCCTGCAGACTAATAAGAAATATTGGATCAGTGGCTTACATTTAGAGGTATTTCTTTTTTCATCCAGTAAATCCAAGATTGCGAGCCTAAAGGAAAAAAACTACTCTTCCAGAAAATTCCTTGTGGTGCCCCTGAATGTCTTGCTCCTTTAGACATATCTTTTGATCTATTAAGTCTGTTTAATCGATTAAATTGTGAAGAAAGTAAGATGAGGTTCACTAATAAATTGCATAACGCTCACTACAGAGTAGCCAGTCTGCCTAAATGCTCTCATCTGCTGGACCAGTGTCACCAAGGGCTCTGCATCACCCAAGTGAATCTCAGAATGGGCAGCAGAGAATGCTTCCACCTCTTTCTCTGCCATCAGTACAGTGCAGGAAAGTCTGCACATTCCCAGCAGTGAGGGAAGAGGGTACAGGCATTACCTAGAGTTGCCTTTTTCACCCATTAAATAGTTTCAGCTCCAGGCCATTTCCATCTCATATTCCTGGCTCTGTATTCTCCATGGGTATACCAGAGTGTTCTGTTTTGGATTTCCGCTTTGCCACTGCACATGATTCAAGTGTCTCTGCTAATGCCTAAACTGAATCTGACTTAAGCTTTAATAGTAACAAACAGTGACTAGAACAGTTGAAAAATGTTACCATATTCCTGGAAATGCAGCTAAGGTCAGGCAGAGCTTACTAATACAAACTGGAGAAATTGTGGGTGGATGTTGTATTCCCGAGGGGTGAAATAGTTGACAATAGCATGGCAACTGACAAACAGCAACACAAGGCTTTTTTGGCATTCATATGGGGCCAAGAGAATACATGCTGTTCAGAAATGAAGTGGATAACAAAGTATTTGGCTGTGGTAGAACAATATTGAGGCTGGCCTGGAGTTCAGAAAGCTCGGTATTTGTTACTGCACTGCAGTGGTTGGTTGGTGCGTATGGATGTATATCTGTATGTATGTGTATCCAAGTGAAAATGTGCCTACAGTTACTGAAGCTTCAGAATACCCAAAGTGATGAGCTTACATTTGGGCTCACTTTAAAATTAAAGTGCTTTTTAAGAAGTATAACTGAGTATTTATTTGAAACCAAAACAAACTCCTGCATCTGAGTCCAGTGCTAAACCTCTGACAAGATTCTGTGACTTCAGGAAAGCTTGTCTTAATCAACTGCATTTGCATTCTGTAATTAAGCCTTATGGTGGCCTTGCTGTCTTTGAATATGCGATGTGTAGCTTGGAAGCCTGTCTGTACCTTTCTTAAAGAGTCAAAAAGGTTTTTCAAAGCAATCCTGGAAGTGAAAACCTGCATGAGGTCCTTGAAATAATGGATATAAGAAATTCCGTGTGTTTTAGGTAACTACACAAGGTTGAGGAGTGAATGAGAGCTCTTTAGCACAGCAGCTTGCTGGAAATAGTGGGAAAGAGAGTTTATATTCAATAAGCCATTTCTTAAGATAGAGTTTAAAACATTTCAGCTGATGCTGGGTTGATGCTTCTCATATAGCAAAGTGGCACAGTGGTTTTACAGCATCTGTGTTCATCAGTGTGAGTTGCTGAGCAGTGTCAGGCTGCTGAGAGCTCTTGTCTCACAAGGATACGTATGGCACCTTTCTGTCAGATGCTACCTCTTCTGGTTCACAATCTCCTTCATAAATCCTTGGAAGTTCAGTTGTCTTCTGTGGATTTATTTCTTTCTCTTTTTCTCCCCGCTGCTTCTGTTTGTTCCAGTTAATGGTTATAAGGCCAGAACAAGACATTTTATTGTGGTCAGGCTGAGTTACAAAAGCAGCCAGGACACTTCTGGTACAAAAACTTGAGTACCCCCTTTGTGAAACTTAACATCAGTTGTTACCAAAAAAATTACTTGCCCTTTCTTTCTGTTTTTCAGGTATTTCATACCTTGATGTTCTCTGCTACAGGCAGTGTTTTGTGTTCTGTTTGCTGAGCTGGTGAAGTCTGAATGCTTCATAAAAGCCTCTTTGGGAGAAAGAATCAAGCAATTTCTCCCTAATGCTAGCAGCAGGGTTATTAAGGCTTCATAACTTCTTACTCTGAGATAGGAGTCAGAGAAAAGGAAGGTGGGCCAGACTTGCAGGATTAGAGGGGGGGGAAACCACAAGCAGCAATTTATTGCTCTAGTTCTAATCTAATTTACTGAGTCATTCTTCTGCTTGAAAGGTTTTGTATTCTCATGTTGCTCTGTGGTTCCATAGATTGAGGCCATCATAAGAATGAAGGAGGAAAAGGTACAGAGATAGGTGTGGGCAGGAGTCCCACTGCTGTATCTCCTTGGATGTCTGAACCTGGGTTTAGGGAGGAATTCTAGTCAGAGGTAGCAGGTAGCTGTTAGCTTCATTTCATGTTATTTAGAGCTTGTTCTTCTGAATGTAATAACTTGATTATACAAATCATGAAAGGAAAACTCATTTAGAGAACCATTTACCACAAAAATACTGCTTATGAGCACCAAACTGCAGAAGAATATGCTGAGAAGTGTAGTTACGTGCTTGATCTGATGAAGTACGCTCCCCTAGGCATCACCTCATGGCTGCTATGGGAACATCTTTGATCAGGCCTTGTATGATCATTGTGTTATTAAAGAAATATTTCTTTAAGAGTTAAAATCCAGTGTATTTTTGCTTTTTTTCCAGGAAAAGATCAAAACTGCACAGGTGACATTATATAGTTAGGAAGTGTAAGGCACAGCATACACCACACTACAAGGAACTCCCAGAGGGAGCAAAAGCCACTGCTGTCTAGTATTCACTTTACTCTCTTCTCATATTAGACAAGCTCTGTTTGTTGCCATCCCCTTGACTCTATCTCTGTAATTAGGAGTGAGCACAAAGACAGGGGAGAGTATTTGGTTCCTCCACCATGAGATTAATGTGAGAGCTTGCTGTGCCCACTAAAGATGCAGACTTGTAAAACTGACATTATTCAGTCTTTAGCTTTTGATGAATTTACTCCTCTTTCCCCAGCACTTCAGTGAGAAGGATGCCACCATGCAGTTGCCTGGTTATTTATGCTGGTCAGTTGGAGAAGGCACAAAATTGCTGTGTGTGGTTCTGAACACTTCAGTTACTGGCTGGATGTCCCGGTCCAGCATCTCACTCATCAGATGTATACATTCTGTCCTCTTTTCCCTTTCCCCAATAGAAGAGTAGTTAATGCAAAGTACCTGTCACGAAGCATGCAGCAGGCTTGTTGATTAACTGAGGCTTCTCTGGAGATGAGTGCTAGTTATATCCTGCCATGCAAAGATATAGATGGAGTAAAGGCCTGTGGTCTCCAAGATTGGTTTCCTATTAAATATGCAAAGCTCCTAATCAGGGGCATGTTTCTACCGCCTTCTGAATTGATGTGGACTTCTCTATGCAGGCACTGTGGGTCTCTAGCGCTTCACTTAATAGCTTACTCATTAATAAATGAACTTGTAAGTTCAACATAGATGTTAAAGGTATCAGCAAGTCATCTTGTTTGTAGATGTTGGTCAGCCAGTTCTACATAATGCATGTCTACATGCTGCTGAGGTAAAACAAGCCATCAAGCAAAAAGCTCCAGGCCTGACAGTGCACCTTGGATGTTGCCATTGGCAATGAGCAGCGTTACTCAAGTTAGTGAGCTGGCTAACAATAGCATCTGAAAAAACCCAGCCATACAGGGAGCCCCAGGACTTAATTGGGTTAGAAAGTGTATGAATACACTACACAAAGTTTTCTGCCCAGAACTAAGAAACTGTGATCAAGGAATGACTTGTAAGAGTTAAAGCTGGGAAGGTCAGACTTAAGTAAGTAATGTAATTTTGGGGTGTTTTCTGGCAATGTCCAAGTACTTGCGGCTTAAGTGGAGGTAACTCCTTTTGAGACTGCTGAAAATGAACAAAATCAAACCAATTGCCTGTATACTATGGGAATTCCCCCCCCTTGTTTTCCTTTCCTTGTCTGTCTTTGCTTTTTACCTTGCATGTGTCTCAAATTTATATGGCAATTTATGGTAATTATCTCTGGAAATTCATAACAATGACTGAATTACATTCAGGAAAGGAAGTTTTAGTGCAGCATGACACTTGGAACTATGCACATTTCCTTTTACACTTTACTCCCTCAGTTGTGGTCTATAAGAAGTCTAATTCTTTACATGAAGATATGTGTAACATGCATTTGTATACATGCAGGCAGTATATTTTCCTTGTAGGAACAATCTGCATACATGGCTTCTTGCCAAGAAAACAGCTTTCCTGCCATTTAGTATGTTTGTATCTCTCTCTCAGTTTAACTCGGCACTAAACTCATTTGCAGAGAACCTGTTTGCTGGGTGGAACATCTCTGAGTTACTGCCTTGGCCCTGTGCTGGGGACATCAGTCATGGAGGGTGGCTGTGTTGGTATGGAGAAGGAGAACAAAAAACTCAACCTATATGGTTGCATTCCACTTAAAGTGGGCATTTCCCTGGTGACCCCCAAAAGTAAATGTTAATAGATACCTCTAGAAAGGTCTCTTGCTTTGCCCTCTTCCCTTCCTGTAAGGGAATAATGCTGTGCAGAGACTGAGCAGATTTTAGGAGCCTGGTCTGCTTTCGTCATCTTCTGACATTCAATATAGAGACGCATCTTTTGGGGTGTTTTTTTTTTCCCCAGCTCTACATCTTACTCCAGAAGTAGGTAATCTTTGAATCCCTGTGTCTTAGCCTCAACTGGAAAAGTAGTTCACCTTCTTGTAAGCTCTGATTGTTAGATATGAAAGCTCTGTTTCATAGCGACTGCAGGGATTGTAACTCTTCAGCTCTGCTCATGGGTAAAACTGTACAGCCAAAAAATAGGAGTTATAAGATCTTTTGCTGGACTACTTTTGAGTTGATCTGGGATGACAGAACCTATTTCAGGCCAACAGTTATTGTAAGGTTTCCATGGAGATTAATGATGTCAGAGGAGCAACATCTGAGTGCAGTTTGCTAGAAAACAGGGCTGTAATGTTATAGTGGCAAAGTGAAGTCTTTGCATTTTTGTCAACTCGTGGAATAGTGAAACACATTTTCTCAGTGGATTGCAATTTGCTTTTTATTTGTGCTGAACATGAGCCGAAGTAATGCTTTTGCAGTGTGATGATTCTCCTGCAGTTTACCTCAGTGCCGTAAGTGATGATTTCAGTACCATCTCATGTAACTTCTGCTTTAGCTTTGATTGCTTCTCTCTTTACTTGCGTATTTTATGCATTCTCATGTTACCTTATTAAACTCTGGCCCTTTCTGTCTGTACTGAATTGCCTTGTTTTCAGCGTGGTGCCCAGGTTTCCTAGGGCTGTATTTGCAATGCATGAGCATCACAGTTAGAGTAAGTTGCAGCTCTGCTGAGTTTTCTGAAGCTTAGGAGCTGCCATGAAGGGTATAGTAGGTGTGAGAGAGGGGAGAAGTGGCAAAGCGAGAAAACACAACTGTTTAACTGAGGGATAATTTAAGGCTAACATTTGACCCTTAAGACTTTGAAAACTGTTACCATTACTTGTAGTTTTATAGAGATTAAAATACTACTCCGCTGTGTATAGTTACCAACCAAGGAACTGAATCTGTTAGAATCAGTAGTGAAGGCATAGCATTTTTGCATAGGTTTTTTTGCAAAGGGAAGGGATTAAGAGATCTGAAGATGCCTCAATCCCACTGAAAGTGTGTAGCTTTTTAGCAATTCCTGGATGGGAAGCAGGCTTGCAAGCAGTGCTGGATCTCTTTTATTACCTGGGCTTGTTTTTAGCGTCCCACAACTATGGTTTTGCTGTGCGTTATTTGAGGGATTCCTACAAAGTGAAGTTGCAGTATTTAAATTTGGGCAATTTTTCAGGTTTGAGCAGAAAAAAAAACCCTAAAACCCAGCTTCTTCAAAATCAGAAAAATGGAGGGGGAAGTCTTAAGACTTTATGCTTAAATTGAATTCAGTTTGATTGGTAAGCCAGTTGATGCTTCTATAACATTGCCTATAGAAAGATGCTCACGCTTACCTGCCCACATACTGAAGAACAGCCAGTAACAGTAACGATGGTAAATGATGGTAAGTCTCTGCTTTATTATTTTGTCTCAGAAGACAAAGCAGAGAACAGTCTTTTTTTTGCGCATTTACTGTGCTTCAGTCGCCATAATTGGCTCTGGTTTCTTAAGTGTAATTGTAACAGAGGTATCTTTTGCGTAGAGGGAAGCACCGGACTATGTGAACTTGCTTCTATGACTTGCCCAAATTATCAAAATGGCCTCATATTTCAAGGAGTTAAGTTTTTAGAGAGCAAAATGGCAAAGCACCTCTGAGCTCACATCCTTTTATCTCTGAGTTCAGCAGAAAAGGAATTATTCTTGCCCCCAGGCCACTTTCTGAATTCCTGAAATGCAAAGCTTACCCAGCGAGAGAATGGCCTACTCATGTACAAACCAACTGACAGCTCCTCCTGAAAACCAGGACAAGTTAATACATTCCACATGTTCCCTGCCCCAGTTTTTCAAATTGATTATTTTGAAAGGCTAAGTAAGCCTATCTTTATTTTGCAGGAAATGTTTGGTGCCATTAGGCAGCAATGCTGTTGAAAAGAACAAAGCTGGAACAGCTTTTGATAATGTCCTCTGAGAAATGGCCAACTGCTATACAAGTGGTACGAACAGGACTGTTTGTTCTTGTGGGGTGCTGAGCACTTGAAAACACATGCACTTCACTTATGAGCCTAAAAAGGAGTGAAATTCTTTTGAATCCTTAAATATTGAACCATTTTGGAAATCTGGCCCCATACGTATAGGAAGAAGTTCTTTACTTTGAGGGTAGTGAGGCACTGCAACAGGCTTCCTAAAGAAGTGGTAAATGCCCCATCCCTGGCAGTGTTCAAGGGCAGGTTGGACAGACCCCTGAGCTACATGATCTAGTGTGAGGTGTCCCTACCCATGGCAGGGCATTGGAACTGGATGATCTTAAGGTCCTTTCCAACCCAATTCATTGTATGATTCTATTTCTTAATACAGATGTAGGCTATGTGACTTTTACTGTAAGGCAGTTATAAGTTTCTGACTGGTACCTGAAGGGCTGAAGCTTTTGTCTATTACTTCACTTTAAAAAGAGGAAAATCTGTTAGAGGATTATGTCCTGTGAAGCCATGCAGTCCTTTTGCGGGTCTGGGCTTAGTGAGCTTTATACTTGGATAGCAGGAGTTATCTCAGTGTGGGAAGTGAACCTGGGTGAAACAGCTACGGGCTGCAGTCTTGTTATTTCCTGTGAGAGATTAAGGTTTAATGAAATGTTCTGTAATCCATAACAGTGTTGAAGCACCTTTATGTTTGTTAAATGGAGAGAGGAAGTGCAGAGTAGAGGAAAGAATATTAGTCTGTATGCTCTTAAGCACATTCCTGCAGGAGAGTAATTTTTCATGGCCACTGAGTCATGCAGATGATTGCATAATTGATTGATGTTTTATATGCAGGTATCCTCCCATCCATCTGAACTTCTCCCTTCAAACAATGCTTTTTGACTCTGCTCTGTTACTAGCGTACCACATTTGGCAGTGTTTTGGTATGCTGAGTGTACTTCACCAAATACAAAGTTTACTTAAGCAAATATGAAATAATGGCCTGATAAATAGAGAGACAGGAATCACTGAGCTTGCAGCAGAGGATAATGTATTTTAATATTGGGGTTTAAAAATGTATTTTCCTGTAGAAAAGAACAGTTAGACATCTCTTTCCACCTCCTTATCTTCTCCTGACCTGTTACCTTTTCTCTTTGCTCATCATGCCAGCAATGACAGAGCCTTTTGTAGGTACTGACCTCCACACTCTACTGGTGGACTGTTCACTAGAGAGAGGCACCGAACCTGCTGGGAACAACTGATTTTTGGACAGAAAAAGAAGAGGAAGAACCCTCTGCCTGGGCCATATTCAGTGTTTGTTGTTTTTTCAAGGTTGATTTCCCCTTTTTCTCCAAGAAAGAAGAACTTTTTGTACAGTAACCTCACACAACAAGTAGTGGAATGGCAGAGGCATAAAGCACAAACTAAAAAGAAACATCAGACCGTCTGCCTTAAACGTGTCAGACCTTGGTTAGCAGGAATGAAGAGGGACTCGTATAGGACTGAGAGCAAGGACTTCCAGTGTTGGATGTCTTGCAGCATGGGGCTCATAATGTCAGTTTTTCACTTGAGAGGCAGGAATGTTGTGCCTTTCAAGTCCAGCATCTATACATGGAAGTGGCTGTTTGTAAGTGCACGCGCTGCAAATAGCTGCGTGGCTGACTCCTTGTTTACCCTCAGCATGAATGTCTGCATGCAGAGCTTTGCAGGTGCAGCCAACACACTAATGTTTTTCCCACGCTCTTCAGCCATCCCATTATTTGATAACAGGGCCCTGTCAGTTGAGATCTGAGGGGGTTTTTAATCAACTTTGCCATGCCACTGCAATGCTGGGTTTTTTTTGCTGTAGGATTTTCCATTTTTAGGATCAAGTCATTCACTTAACCCAGAATTTTCATATTGCCTCCATCACAAAGAGTGCCAAAAGCTACAAAGTTACAGGTTTTTTATACACTCTTAGGAAAGAAGCATCTATATTAAGTATTGATAGCTTTCTGTTTAGATGTAGTAGCATCTGCATATTCTTCAGTTTATAAAAATGAGTATTTTGCTGCTGCATGGGGGAAAAACCTCAGTCCTGAAGTTAGTAGAAAACCAAATAAATTGCATTTTGTAATTTGTTCTGTATTAAGAGCTTTGAAGTGTTCTAAAGTATGCAGAATTTACGGTCTCTGGCTCGGACATTTTGTACTCAATAAGATGGTCAAAGTGGGATTGAGTCAGAGATGTCTGTTACGCATAGAAAATCATCCAAGTTTGAAAGGGCTTTCAAAAGACTGTTCTTTTTCTCCTTAGAGTTTTACACCTGAATTCTCCAAAGATTATTAAGGCTACAGCCTCTCCCTCTCTTTACTCATAGTGGTAATATTAAGGTAGGAAAATGTTAACTCTATTTCTGATGTAGAAATGCACCATAAGCAGCGTTGTCTGGGGTGGCACGGGGCCTGCAACCAAATTGGAACTTAAACCAGGGTTTGGTCTGAGTCTTCGTAGGGGCTGCCTGTGTGAGGAGCCTCCCCACCTGATAAGTTTTAAAAGCCTTAGGAGCAGTCAAAGATAAAGGTGGTTGGTGGTGCAGAAACTGGAATAAATAATGGAGTCAGAATTGGAAGGACATAAACAACTCATATTTGGAGAAAGGTGACAAGGAAGAAAGCACGAAAAGGAAAGTATGTTGAGAAACACATGTAGAAGAAAGTATGATGAGAAGGAGGAGAAGAAATGAGACAAGTATGAGAGTTTGGGAAGGAGTCAATGGCTTGAATAACAGCAGAGGAACTCATCAGTTCAGCAGAACAGGGAGTGTGTGAAGAGCTGGGGGCTGTCCGAACAGAGGAGAGAAGAAGCAGAAGAGGGAGATAATCAGTGGGAGGTGTGGAAGGTGCAGAGAGGGCACCAGTGGCTTATACCTACAGACCTTGGACACAGGAGAGGAGAGCTGCCTTACCTAGCGATGTTTTGATGATAATGAGTGAAAATTCGCTTCCATCAAGTTGCAGTTGTGATTTACCACAGAAGAGTCCCACCAGTTAAGCCAGTGCCTTCTCTGCCTCTGTTACCGTTGCTCTAAATAATTGCCACCTTCATCCTAGGGACTGTGAGCAGTGGCTGCAAATGTTGCCAGAGAGATCAGCAGAAGATCAAGTGTAAAAAAAGCTCAAGTATAACATGCATTTAGCTTCAACTTTTGCTATTGCTATTTCAGTCCTAAAAATATGGCTTCTGTGTCTAAAGCTTGTCTTCCTTTTCATCTATTCTCAAGTTAAAGTTACTGGGTAATATCTGTAAACTTCATCTCACTCCAAGTGCTGGACTAGCTCTATCAGTGTACCTCATGCAGAAGATTTGCAGCTTTAAAAACTGATAGAAATACATAGCACTGTTGTTTTTTTCTTCTGCAGTGTTAGAGTTTTATTCCTTTAAAATCCATGTGTAGACTTCTCTTCTGAAGTCTATTGGGAAAACAGTGAAGAAACCAGCAGGGCCACATGAGGGAATTCCATATTTGTTTTTGGCATTTAATTTCCATGAAGAGGAGGATCCTGTTGACACAGAACACTGCTTTCTTTTTTTTCCTTCATCTTGCAAATGTTGTGGAAGCATTAAAAATGAGCTCCTTGTCAGGATTCCAAAATAGATGTTTGCGTAGTAGATTAGATGTAAGATTTGTGTAACTTTGACAGCAGCTTTCAGGCTGCTGTTTCATAAGTAAGATATGAAGCTGCATCATCAGAAAGAATATTACTGCTCAAATGCATGTTGCATATACAGAATCGATCAGCTTATAGACAGATATACTACAGTGATTCAAGAGTTGTGTGCAGATCATTAGCAGTATAAAAACAGAAGAGGTATGTGCAGTTGTAAGTGTTCTCCTTTATGCAGAATATGGTTCGTTCTAGCTAAAGTCTCATACTTGACTTACCATGATTTTACTATTGCAGACTTGAGAAGGAGATGCTTGAAACGTGAGAATTGGAGCTTGAGAAAATAAGCCACCATATACAGGAAGAGTAATTGTTGTATTTCAAAATAACCCTCACCTCCACCATCTGAAAACCTGTAGAGATAACTTCCAACGTGTAGGAAATGACTCCAAAATGCTCATTCTCAGAGAAAATGGACTGAAAAAATGCTTTGGCTTCAACCTCCCACTTCTTTTAAAAGAAGATATGAGAGCAGCACATAAGCTGTAAGAGGTCCCTTGGATTGCAAGGTCGCTTTGTTTTCCAGTTCGTGGCTAAGTTAGCAGAGTGGAGCAAAGCGGTGGTGGTGGTAGTGTGGAGAGGAGGAGTGTTAAAATCCTTTTAGATGCAAAACTCTTGGGGGCAGATCTGCTCTGAGATGGGTCAGTACAGTGCCTAAAAAACCCCCAGTGCACAGGACACTGTAGTCAGAACACTGGCTGAGAGAACTGCACTGTGTTGAGGAGTGATGGAGAAGTGAGGAACACGTCTTACCAGCCATGAAGTGGTGTGAGGCCTGGTTGCCAGCACAGCAAGCTGGGACCTAAGGTGCTGAGCCCCAGGCACAGCTCTGCATGCGCACTGGTGAGCACTTGCTTCCAGCTCTGCCTGAGGGAGACACTGTTTGCTGTTGGAGTATATCATATACAATGATAATAATCATATATAATGATAAATAAGTAAATCATCCCTGAATTATTTGGCTTGGGGTCAGTATTCCTTAATAGAGAAGTCTCTGGTATTTCCAAAGGTTATCACAGCTTCCGTAGAGCCTTTGTGCTGCTCCATAGCACCTAAAGTTTGGGTTTGTGTTGGAGAGGACCTTAAGATCATTTAGTTTCAACCCCCGTGCCATAGACAGGGATGCCTCACATGTCCCCCAAGGCTCTGTCCAACCTGGCCTTGTTGCATAAAACCAAGAACAAGACCTATTTTCCTACGGGGAAATTGGAATGAGGGTCGGATTCATTGCTTCTCTTGATCCAGCTTTTGCAGCCCATTTAAATGGGAGAGTGATGAGTCTCTTTGTGAGGAAATTACATATTTAACTGTAAAACTGCAGATGCAGCTATTTTCAGAAATCTATCCGCCCATCCTTATGCAGCTAAAAACGGCTTGTCTTGCTTCAGACAGAGGGATGACAAGACATGCAGGGTAGCCAGTCAGGCCAGGCTGGCTTGCCCCTTACAGATTATGCTGCTGGAATTCTTTTATACCCTGTTCTGCACTTAGGCCATGCAAATCAGCTAATTATCAGCCTCTGCTCAGGCTTCCATGAGTGCCGAAGAGTGGAACAGAATGATTTAATTTCTCTAACATACTCTCTTGGCACTTTTGCACACAGAATATGTTGCTCTAAAGCATCCCTTGATACTATCCTTGGCAGAGTTCCAAAAGGAGTTGAAGTTAAAAACCACTCAGCGTAATTCAAGGGTTGGTAAACCTCGATTTGTCACCTTCCCTGCCTCGCGTAATGTTACTGTCTGTAGCGCGGGGCTTTCCTCTCCTCTCACACAAGCAGGGAGATGATCTTCAGAAGTGTTTAAACTGTGAATCAGGGAGTATAGCTGGCACTGGTTCTGCATGTGGTGTTCTGTTAGGCGAGTAATTAAACTGAGGTGAAGCAATCATATGAATCTAAAGTTTTGCAATTCATTATGCCTAAAAGAGGGAAGACTATGTAGAGTTCTTGGTTGCATTAGTAAATGAGTGTGATTGCCTTCCATTGTGACTTCGGTTTGCATTGTGCTCACTCTAAAATGTGTGCCACAGACAGTAGTGTAAATTCCCCTTGTGGAAGAGTTTGTATGTAGGGTATGGGAACATCTTGCGTGGCTGAGTGTAAATTATATAAATCACAAAACATTTTGGGATGTGGCCAGATTTAAGCTAAAAGGAAAAGGAATTTGGTCAAGAGGTTCTGTTCCTCCTCAGTAGTTGGTTCCCAATACTAGAAACACTCCTTTAATACCTGTTTACTCATTAATTTTACTGTAACTAACAAATTAAATGCAGGCATAAGCACTGGCAAGAATTAACCAGCTAGTTCTATTACTTGAAGCATGCTGGTGCCATTGAAGATTCCTTTAATGGTAGCTATATTCTTTAGCTGTCTAGATACCATTAAAATGAAGCATGCCTTAAGCCTCGGGCAGGAAGGAGTAGTGTCTGTGTGTTATTTATAATAAGCCTTGACAATCAAGAGGAAGTAGTAGATCAACTAATTATACGTTGTTGGTTGCCTGTCTGTCATCATATTACAGTGTTTCAATATCATAATTTCCAGTGGAGAAAATGGATTTAATTTTCATTATGGCTGATAATTAAGCAAT